CCCCCCCCCCCCCCCATCTTTATACCCACATACATTTAACCCTCCTTCCATAAACCTTTCCATGAGAGACCTATCACAGGAGGAATGACGCAGGAAAGGGCGACAGACGATAAATTACAATCAAAAGTAGAAATTCCGGCATTAGAAATGAGAATCCAAAATGGTGGCTAAGTGGTTGGCACCTCTGCCTTGCCGCACCAGGCTCCTCGGTTTGAGGCCTGGCCAAGGAGGAGCTTGGGTTTGGTCAATGTCAATCATCAATGATGTCACAAGTATCCCGCCCCTTTGTGTGCACCGCGGAGCTGGAATCCCCAGTTGGTTGGCCAGTTGAAGAAAGTGGAATAATGGCGCTGGACCCGTAAAGGTTTATCTTCTTGGCAGGGGCGGACTGACAGCTCATGGGGCCCCCGGGCAATAGGGGATCATGGGGCCCCTGTGTCCTTGCCCAAACTCAAAAAAGCCTATGAAAAAAGATACCAGGGGCATCTCATGGGGCCCCCTACTGACCCCGGGCCCTCGGACAGTGCCGAGTTTCCATATGGTCAGTCCGCCCCTGCTTCTTGGTGTTACCATCTAAATCAGGGGTGTCAACCTGGTGGCCCTCCAGCTGTTGCCAAACTACAAATCCCATGAGGCAGTGCAAGACTGATGGTTACAAGCACGACTCCAAAAGGCAGAGGCATGATGGGACTTGTAGTTTCGCAACAGCTGGAGGGCCGCCATTTTGACACCCCTGAGTATTGATGAAGGTGGCCTGATTCCCATGAAAGTGACACCTGCACCCCAGAGCAGCCTTGCCCAACCTGTCCGGCACAGAGGAGCCCTTGAAAGTACTTTGCGGTCCCAAGGAACCCCGGCTAAAAAAAATGACTCTTCTCTCTACAACTCCTGATACATTTGTGTGATGGTCGGTGGGAAGAATAGACATTTCGTTTTGTTGCGAATCGAAATTCAGATGAAATTTTCGTTAATCGGTGATTCGGATGTATTCGAATTTCCAAATGACAACAGTAGCAAATTTAAACGAATACAAAATAACAAAACTACATTTAGTCTGAAATGATGAATTATCCGAATTCGACTCACATTCGAAAAGAATTTTGAAAACTAAATTGAATTCAAAAAGGAATGCTTAATGTAAACTATTGCTGATTTTTGATTCAAAGACTGTGTGTATTAGAATATAGCCGTAGTATGAAATTCAAATTTTGAAAAGAATAGAAAAAAATAAAATAGAGCAGAAACAATATAGCAGTCTTACGAAATTCGAATTAAAAAAAAATAGAATAAAATAGAGTAGAAAATAAAGGAACAGAATAGAAAATAAAGGAATAGAATAGAGAATAGAATAGAAAACAAAGGAATAGAATAGACATAAATATTAAGAATATAGCCATCTTTCGAACTTCGAATAGAATAAAATAGAATAGAAAATAAAGGAATAAAATGGAAAATAAAGGAATAGAATAGAAAATAATAGAATATAATTTAATATTAAGAATGTGGCCATCTTTCAAACGTCTAATAGAATAAAGTAGAATAAAACAGAATATAATAAAGCAATAGAAAAGAACAGAGTAAAACCGAATAGATTAGAGAAAAAAAGAATGGATTAGAATAAAATAGAATATAGCCGTCTTCTGAAATTCGAATTTCGGATAGAATAGAACCAGCTATGCTTCACAATGAATTTGGATCAATTGGATATTTTCAATTAAAATTCAAATCGAACATTTCAAATCCATTGGAAAAATTTGTATCCAGTTGAAATTAAATTTAGTAACTTAAGGAATCGATCCGAAATGAAACAAAAGGATTTTATTTTCGTTCTGCACGTGTCTAGGGAGGAATGCTCCTAACACTAGGAAGGGAAGTTTTGGGGGGATTTGTGCTGGGAGGGGGGATGGAGGAGAAATTTGAGGGTAGAGGACTTATAAGATTTGTTGCTGGAAGGACTGATTTGTTTTTGGAGGGGGGGGGGGGGGCTCAACTTGTGCCGGAAGGATTTGCAGAGAGAGAGAGGATTGGAGTTTAGAAGGGGGATTATTGGAAACCCCCCAAAGCACCTTAATCCCATGTTGGTGAGCACAAGGGCCTCTTTTTTTGGTGGGGGGGTTGTGCTAGTACGGAAGATTGAGGGGGACTTGTGCTAGGAAGGGGAGTTTTGGGGTGATTTGTGCTAGGAGGGGGGATGATGAATTTGTGCTGGAAGGGGGATTTGGGGGGGATGTGTGCTGGGATGGGAAATTTGAAGGGTAGAGGATTTGTGCTGGGAGGAGGAGTGATTTTTTTTTGGGGGGGGGGTCAATATGTGCTGGAGGGATTTGCAGAGAGAGAGGGTTTGAGAGCTGTCAGTGGTGATTATTGGAATCCCCCTCACCACCCCCCAGCAAAGCACCTCGGTCCCATGTTGGTGAGCACATGGGCCTCTTTTTTTTTTCCGGGGGGGGGGGGGGGGTGTGCTAGTTAGGAAGATTTAAGGGGACTTGTGCTTGGAAGGGAAGTTTTGGGGGGATGTGTGCTAGCTTGTAGGCAGGATTGAGGAATATTTGTGCTGGGAGGGGGGATTTGTGGGGGGGGTGTACTAGTTAGGAAAATTGAGGGGTACTTGTGCTAGGAAGGGACGTTTGGGGGGGATTTGTGCTCGGAGGCAGGATTGAGGAATATTTGTGCTAGGAGTGGGGATTTGTGGGGGGGGGGGGGGGTGGGGGTGCTAGTTAGGAAGACTGAGGGGGATTTGTGCTAGGAGGCAGGATGACGGAATTTGTGCTGGGAGGTGGGATTTGTGGGGTGGATGTGCTAGTTAGGAAGATCGAGGGGGACTCGTGCCTGGAAGGGAAGTTTTGGGGGGATGTGTGCTAGGAGGCAGGATGACGGAATTTGGGGGGGGGGGATGTGCTAGGATCTTGGAGAGGGTGCGATTTGGCATGTTCGCCCTGCGCTCCACATGACCTTGTCCCGGTACTGGCCACCCGGGGCTCTGTTATAGAGATCTCCCCACATTTCCGGTCGCAGTGACCGCGGGGTCTCCACAAACCTTCTCTGTCAACGGAAAACATTGAAATCCCGAAAGGGACTCTGATCCTTCCCTACGAGATCCGAAGCGGGAAATGAAAGGCTTTGGCTGGGCACGCCCCTCCACTAGAACCGTCCGTTGTGTATACAGAGGGGCAATGGCACCTTTTCATGGTTCCTCCCCCTTTCATAAACCGTTTTCCATCGTTATCAAATGAAATACAAATTTGATTTGTGGTTGTGATGTATTTATTTCCCTAAATATAGATCCTTCAACACTCTACAACAACACTTCGGCCCACAGATACAAAATCTCGGCGGGTCTATGAAGGGTGTTGCTGGCGGCATCTCTTGACGTTCTTCACGGATCCAAATCCAGGCCAATGAGAATGGTCTGATGTCATTTATAATCCATAAAGCATTCTGATTGGTTGAAGGAAATGATAGATATCCAAGATGGAACCAATGTTGTCCACTGCGCTGCCAGTCCAGAAAGAGACGATCATGAGACGAATCCTTGCTGCCATTTTCTGTAGGACCATTGATCTGCCCACATTTTGTTGGTTAAAAACCATTCATAATCCTGAAGGATTTTTATCTGTTTTTGCATTTTTGTTTTTTGTTTTGATTCCTTTCACATAAGAGGCATTCAGGGTTCGTCTGACCCTCCAACACAACGGCTTGATTATCTGCGCGGTGACTGGTCGTAGGGTCCGTATTTCAGCCTCGGACACCTGGAAAACATAGTTACATAGTGTTACATAGTGTTACATAGTTACATAGTGTTACATAGTTACATAGTGTTACATAGTGTTACATAGTTACATAGTGTTACATAGTGTTACATAGTTACATAGTGTTACATAGTTAGGCCGGCCATACATGCGTCGATTTCCAAACGAGTTTTCGTTTGAAAATCGGACCTAAGAATAATCGGTCGATTTTCGCTCTGTTAGTGGGGCGATGGCACCGGACGATTTTCGTGGTTCCTCCCCATTTCGTTAATCGGGCATGCTGTAAAATTTGTGAAAAACAACCAGTTTTCACAATCATTGGTGGCACCATCGGATTACAGAACGAAAGGTGTTTTAGAAAAATTGTTCGGAATTCGACCCATGTATGGCCAGCTTTAGCTGAAAAAAGACAAAATTCATCCAGTTCAACCATTAAAAAAAAAAAAAGTTATAATCCTACATCCACAGTTGATCCAGAGAAAGGCAAAAAAAACAGCGAAGCACGATCCAATTTGTTCCTGCAGGGGAATAAATTCCTTCCTGATCCTTAATGTCACCTTAAGAGTTCCCTTCACTGGAACTAGGGGGCCAAGCCCACCCCCTGAAAAACACCCCCACACCATAATCCCCCCTCCACCAAACTTTACACTTGGCACAATGCAGTCAAGCAAGTACCGTTCTCCTGGCAACCACCAAACCCAGATACATCCATCGGATTGCCAGACAGAGAAGCCTGATCGGTCACTCTGGAGAACACGTCTCCACTGCTCTAGAGTCCAGTGGCAGCGTGCTTTACACCGCAGCATCCGACGCTTTGCATTGCACTTGGTGATGGAAGGATTGGATGCAGCTGCTCGGCCATGGAAACCCATTCCATGAAGCTCTCTACGCACTGTTGTTGGGCTCATCTGAAGGCCACACCAAGTTTGGAGGTCTTTAGCTATTGACTCTGCAGACAGTTGGCGACTTCTGCACACTGTGCGCTTCAGCATGCGCTGACCCCGCCCTGTCATGTGACGTGGCCTACCACTTGGTGGCTGAGTGGCTGTTGTTCCCAGTGGCTTCCACTTTGTTATAATCCCACTAACAGTTGAGCGTGGAATATTTAGTAGCCAGGAAATGTCACGGATGGACTTATTGCCCAGGTGGCCACCTATCACGGGACCACGCTTGGAGTCACTGAGCTCCTGAGAGCGACCCATTCTTTCACCAATGTTTGTAGAAGCCGTCTGCATGCCTAGGGGCCTGACTGTATACACCTGTGTCCATGGAGGGGATTGGAACACCTGAATCACATGATTGGGAGGGGATTGGAACACCTGAATCACATGATATGGAGGGGATTGGAACACCTGAATCACATGATTGGGAGGGGATTGGAACACCTAAATAACATGATATGGAGGGGATTGGAACACCTGAATCACATGATATGGAGGGGATTGGAACACCTGAATCACATGATATGGAGGGGATTGGAACACCTGAATCACATGATTGGGAGGGGATTGGAACACCTGAATCACATGATATGGAGGGGATTGGAACACCTGAATCACATGATATGGAGGGGATTGGAACACCTGAATTACACAATATGGAGGGGATTGGAACACCTGAATCACATGATATGGAGGGGATTGGAACACCTGAATCACATGATATGGAGGGGATTGGAACACCTGAATTACACGATATGGAGGGGATTGGAACACCTGAATCACATGATATGGAGGGGATGGGAACACCTGAATCACATGATATGGAGGGGATTGGAACACCTGAATCACATGATATGGAGGGGATTGGAACACCTGAATCCAATGACATGGAGGGCTGGCCCAATACTTTTGGCAATACAGTGTATCTATTTGATAGTGTCACCGCTCTGGTGGGTGTCACCTGAGTGCGGTCAGGGCCCCCATAGGGACACCACTGGTGTGTTGTGAGTGTCCATAAGGGCATGTGAAGCACATTGCAATTAAACGAAAGGCTCCACCTGCGATTATTGGGGTTACCTGCCTTTATTGGGGTTACCTGCCTTTATTGGGGTTACCTGCCTTCGGTACAACTAGCAGGAACATAAACCCAATTGAATGTGACTATGGCTATACTATACCATGGCCTGAATATACGGGAACCTTCATAGACAATTGCCACTTTTGGAATTTGAGGACAAGACTGGTGGATCAATGTTCTGGGCATGGGTGCAAATTTGCATTTGAATGCCGTGTTAGTAACTTGCCCTCTGAGGCTATCATCACTTCTATCATCAGATCAGCACTTCAAAGCATTGGATCCTAGCACAGGGTTGTATGTGTTAGGGTGTGAAGAGTGCGGTTCACACCTCCTGCTATAGACCTTGCACCCCATTATCTGGAGTAGCTTCAAGCTGCAGATGTCTGCATTTAGCTGTGAGACCCCCCCAACCCCTCCTCCCGTGTAAAGTAATTATCACTTTTAGAAACACATCCATTAGTGGTGCTGAAAAAAATCATGAGGAGCTAGAGCAAGCTGTTAGAGTTGTGACCTGACGAAGTCATGAGAAGTGTAGCACCCTCCTAGAAGAAGGTTGCTAGACAGGCTCAGGTAAATCTATTTTTTGGCTCCTCGTTGTGAGATTATTTTGCATTGTTCTGGGCTGGGGGGTGCATAAATAGTGTGAGGCCTGGGGCAGCATGGTTCTTGTCCAGGAGGAGAAGATCCCAGCCTGACGGGCTGTTGCCCTTCTGGACAGTGTAGATGAAGTCTACAAGCGTTCCTCAAGGTCCCAGCTCAGTGAGAGCTAGGGGTGCCTATTTGCTGGGAGCAGTTGGCACCAAATCAAGCGGATTCACTGAGGATCTGGCCTGGTGTCTCACAGGAGAAGAGTCTGGCCGATATTGGATGGATGCATCTAAATATAAAGGGACATTGTGAGAACAGGTATGGATATAGGATCCTAGTGACGGCTCTCAGCTTTAACCCATCAGCTATTTGCTCCACCACTGGTGGATTGAGACCTTTCCTTGGCGTCCCAAGGTTGCTGTCCCCCAATTGTTTGCCGGGAGGGGAATTATTCTGAAGAGTGTAGGCAAGGCAGATAGTGTCCTCTGGTTTCTTTGTGCACTAAATAAAGAGTATCCCAAAGCTCACCCTGCACCCTAACCATGTTCAATGAGCATTAACGCATACAAAGACATCCCTTGCCTGGTCATTGAGTTGTGAGACTGTTCAAGTTGTTGTGTGCCTGGCTGCTTGGACACCCAAATGGGACGAGAACCTGCCCAGCAGGGACCTGCACTACAGAAGTTTTAAGGTACTCAGACGTGAGATGATGGTTCAGTAGTTGCTTGCCAGTCGGGAGGGTTGATCGGACAGTTCAGAAAATCTGCAGCCATTGCCTTTTATTCCCTCAGAGTCACCGTGATGATGTGGCGTTGCAGTGCAATGCCTTCCGGCAATTATTTGCTCCCTTCCTCTTATATAGCCTACTGTTATGATCCGCCAGGCGGAGCCTTCCGGCTGCCAACTGATAGACCAACCCAGAGCGTGGGGTCTAAGCCCGGGCTGTGCCTTCACCAGGGCCCCTGATGGTGGGGATGGACTTGAAACAGTCCCGGGCCAGGTCACGACCTCTGGGCGGGCCCACCAGCGGCTGGGAAGGCCTCCGGGGATGCGTGTAGGTACCGGGAGAGCCAGATATGAGGCGGATGACGGCCCCAGCAGGGTGGCACGGATAGTGGTTCCGTGGGGGGTAAGCGGGGTACCAAATCAGCGGGCAAGGAGTAGTCAGGTCACATGCAGGGTCAGCCAGGTAAATCAGTCCGTAGAATAGTCAGGATATCCGAGTCAAAACGCAGGAGCAGGCAGAGTAGTCAGGACAAGCCGGGTCAAACACAGGGGCAGGCAGAGTAGTCAGGACAAGCCGGGTCAAACACAGGGGCAGGCAGCGTAGTCAGGGTCGAAAACAGGGTCACAGAACATGAGCAGGTATCCAGGATCACATAAGACCTTGCGGCAATGGGTGACAGTGCAGGGCATCTTTAAATAGTGTGCCCTGCACTGTCATTGGCTGGCTGGGACGTGCCCCCGGCTGTCATTGGACGCCTGAGGCGCGCCCTCGACTCTCTACTGCGCATGCGCGGCGTCCTGTCAGCCGCGGCTCGCCGCCAGTGCGCATGCGCGGGGGGACGGCGCCGTGATGCAGGATTCCGGCGCCGTGATCCCTGACACCTACATGCAGAACTTCCTAATATTTCTTCCATGAGAAGAGTAGCCACCTACTAAAGTGACAATGCCCCTCATTAGTCCACATCAGGGGCAGACTGACAACTCATGGGGCCCCCCCCCCCCGCAATAGGGGATCATGGGGCCCCTGTGTCCTTGCCCAAACTCAAAAAAGCCTATGAAAAAGGTACCAGGGGCATCTCATGGGGCCCCCTACTGACCCCGGGCCCTCGGGCAGTGCCCGAGTTTCCAAATGGTCAGTCCGCCCCTGGTCCACGTATAAATCAAACTTTTGGATGGGTATAGAGGCACGCCTAATATAAAGGTCCATCACACTTGAGGGCTCATTGATGGAGTTTATTGAAGTCAACAGTGTACAGGTAGCAGTTAAATCCAATGCACTTGGGGGGGTGAAACGCCTCCCCCTTCATCAGGGCTGAAGTGGTGGATAAGCTTGGACTAGTGATATGCCTATGGTGAGGCTGGATCAGAGTGGTTGGATCAGATACTTTACAAATTGCATCACATCTCTAGTCCAAGGCTATCCACCACTTTAGCCCTGATGAAGGGGGAGGTATTTTCCCCAAAAAGCATTGGAGTTATCTGTTACCTTTGAATTAATTTCAATAGACTCCTTCAGTTTACCCTCCAGTGTGACCTGGGCTGCTGCTAAGGCAATAAAGCCAGTACTCAATTACTGTGCCTGGCCCCCATCAGTTCAAAAGGGGGGCAACGGCACCCTACAGCTGACACCAATCTTCTTGTGGCTCCCCTGCAGCACTGCCAACTTCTCCTCCACTCCCTCCCTACCACTGTGCTGCAGGGCAATCCGTTCTAGTATCTGCGTCCCCCCCCCCCCACCCAACTGGCTCTGATCCACCCCCACCACTATCCGTGCCCCCTTTTGAGCTCTTTCCCCTGCAGTGTTGCTGCCTTCCCTCCCTGTCCTTGTGTTCTTCTTGTTGTAACTAATTTAACAAATAAAGATATTGGATTCTCAATGCTGTTTTTTTGCCTGTTATTTTTTAACTCCCCTTGCAAGTGGATATGGCAAATAATGATCTTCCTAGCTTATTCCAGCCTTGCTCAACTTTTGTACCCCAGAGGAACCCATGTAAGTAATTCTCAGATCTCCAGAAAACTCAATTATAAGAAGGTCAGTTGAAAGAATGCCCCTTACAGTAGTGGTCCGAATGCCCCCATACTGTAAGCTAAAGAGATGCTTGGTGCCATGCCATTGACTGCCAAGTAGTGTTGGCCCCGGAACCATGCCGGTATTCCCAGATGGGAGGTCAATCAACCACAGCTCAATGAACCCCTGGTAACCTCTGGAGGAACCCTAAAGATTCCATAAAGCCCTGGTTGAGAATGCCTTCCTTACAGTAAAGGTCAGAATGCCACCATATAGTAAGCTATAGTATGCTTGGTGTCATGCCATTGACTTTGCAAGTAGTGTTGGCCCCAGAACTTTGCAGGCATCATCAAATGAGAAGTTAACCAACCACCACTCAAGGAACTCCTAGTAACCTCTGGAGGAGCCCTAAAGGTTCCACAGAGCCATGGTTGAGAATGCCTTCCTTACAGTAAAGGTCAGAATGCCACCATATAGTAAGCTATAGTATGCTTGGTGCCATGCCATTGACTTTGCAAGTAGTGTTGGCCCCAGAACTATACAGCCATCATCAAATGAGCAGTTAACCAACCACCACTCAAGCAACTCCTAGTAACCTCTGGAGGAGCCCTAAAGGTTCCACAGAGCCCTGGTTGAGAATGCCTCCCTTACAGTAAAGGTCAGAAGGCCACCATATAGTAAGCTTGGTGCCATGCCATTGACTTTGAAAGTAGTGTTGGCCCCAGAACTTTGCAGGCATCATCAAATGAGCAGTTAACCAACCATCACTCAAGGAACTCCTAGTAACCTCTGGAGGAGCCCTAAAGGTTCCACAGAGCCCTGGTTGAGAATGCCTCCCTTACAGTAAAGGTCAGAAGGCCACCATATAGTAAGCTATAGTAAGCTCGGTGCCATGCCATTGACTTTGCAAGTAGTGTTGGCCCCAGAACTATACAGGCATCATCAAATGAGCAGTTAACCAACCACCACTCTGTGAACTCCTAGTAACCTCTAGAGAAGCTCTAAAGGTTCCACAGAGCCCTGTTTGAGGAAGGCAAGCAATTGAGCCTACGAAGTTGGATCTGTGTACCTTCATCCGGCCTAGACGGAGCAAAAGGGTAATTTGGAAGGAAACAAGAGGCCAGCATTTAGCCTGTCAGTGTACACAAAGGGGAGGAATGGCGAGTAAACAGGGAAATTAAAGTGCTTCCTACAAGTTGCCAGGAGACCGCCACTCTTGGCTAAAAATTGTACTTGAAGTGTGTGCGTAGAAATCACCAGTACGGCAATTCAGATTCCACCATAACAGAAACACATTACTATACAGAGTCCGAGATTTTATGTCCGTGTTGCAACTTATTTACACCATGAAAGAGAAAATTGCAAAACTGATAAGTTGTTACACTCCAGAAGG